TACACAGGCAGTAATGCATCAGGGGAAGGGGCACGGCAGCCCAGGTGGTGTTACAGGTGCCACGCAGGCAGCAGGGAGTTGTCTCGATGGATGGTTTGGACTTGCTGCATGAGCTGGCCTTGCTGGGCTCCTTGCCTTGTACCCGCTCTGGGGACCAGAGCCGAGACTCCTGTGGGAACCACCCCACAATGCTGCCTTCTCGGGTCCTCCCAAGTGCCTGCAAGGGTGCAGGGACAAAGACTCCTCCTCCCTTGAGGGAACTGCCAGGACTAACGCAGAGAGGAAGGGTGTGTGTGATGAGGTGATGAACAGCGTGGTGAGGACGTGAGTGAGCCGGGGATGGGGACACGTCAGGAGGCTGAAGCCACAGGTAAAACTGGGGCAAAGTTTCATCATCCCTTTGCCCTTCACAGCCCCTGCTTCCATAAAACAGTCCCTTACTTAGGAGCATTGTAAAAGAAGACATCAAGGGGCCATTGCTCCCAACAGGGGACGCGTAATCCTCTGTAATCTGGACAAATGGCAGAGGGGGAAAAAAACCTGCCTTATTGTTTTGCTCCTACAGTCTTCCCTCTGATCTTCTACTCCCTAGAGTGGGGCTGATCTAACCCCTGTTTAGGATCTACAAGGGACTTGTTCCAGGCAGCTGGTCAGGTCTTGCCTATAATCACCAGAAATAGGCAGCACCTTATCAGAAGCGCCTAAGATAACCAACCCTTTGGGTAGGTCCCTGTCTCTCATCAGCTGCAGAACCATCCAAATGCCACTGGAAATTGCATTTTAAGGAGCTACATGCAAACAAGGAGTCCCAACCCCAGGTCTGTCACCACCAGCCCTCCACTGCAAAGGCTGAAAGCACGTCAACCCAAGGAGAATAGGTCTTCTTCCATGAGCAAAAGCAAGAAGTTGCCCAAGTATCTACTGTTGTAGTGTGCCCTGCCAAACCAATGCCCTTCCAATGATACAAGACAAGGAGTAAAGGGACAGAGAGTTGGGCAGTAACCCAGGATGAAGCCACCTAGCTCATGTCTCGCTGAAGGGTCGGCCCTGAGGGGGAGGCACATTCCTGCCTCAAGACCACCAGAGCCCATCAGCTGGCTACATGAGGGAAGCAAGCCAAAGAGGATAAAGAAAAGCTTACTCATTAGTCAGCCCCAAATGGTGTTTAGCCATCTACATAACTGATGGGAGAAGGGGCATGTAAGATGCTCCTGTGCTACACCCCAAAACAGACCCCCAGGTAGACCTCCCACCTATGACCCATACCTCTCCTCATGTCCCTGGTCCCTCACACTCTCACCGAGGAGAGGGCACAGGTGATGGGCAGTTACTCCCAAAAAATACAATACGTTTTTGTGCTGAGGGATGGTTATTTATAGCTTCCTCCTCTTCTTGGTTCCTCCCACACACCCAAAACGAAAGCATGAAGGATGACACAGATGAGTCTGGGTGAGTACAACTAGTTTTTCTCCTCCTCCACCTCGTCATTTGTTCTCTCCTCTCCCCTGGAGGGAGAGACGGGCTGGAGGGAGCTCCCTCCACAGCCACAATCATAACAAACTTCTCAATAAAGTAACCCCCTCCCAAGCCTAAATATTAGGCTGAGCCCACAGAAAAAGAAGCCCAAGGGGCTTCCCTCCAAAAAATACCCCTCCTATTTACAGTATTGCTTTCACTCACAGCCACAGAGCAAGGGATGCACGCAGTCCCTCCGGGTTCATCCATGGGGACCCCTCTCCCGTCCTCAGCAGCAGTTAACCACCAGCAAGGGGGGGCAAGCCATGGGGAGGATAAGCCATGGGGACAGCCACCGGCAACACAAGTCTGCTGGTAGGAGCAGGTAAAAACAGTGCTGATATACAGTGGAGAACAACTGCCCCCCTTCCCTCTTGGGGCCTGCAGCTCTGTGTTTTTCTACCCCTTCCCTATCATTGTGGGGCAGCTGGAGAGGAGTTGTGCTGGTGGGAGAGGAAGGACTGGTAACCTCAGAGTCCTCCAGATGAGATGTTCACACAACCGCAGGCCAGACCTGTGTCCCATCCTCCCAACTCCTAAATATGCTACAGGGAATGGGCTGGATGCTCAGGGAAAGCACCTGTGGATTTTGGATCTGCTCCTGATCTCTGCTACTGGGGGATGGAGCTCCTCACTGCTGCAAGGCACACCCCACTTCTTGTGCTCTGAGGGAGAATTGTCTAGGTGGCTATTGCTGAATTATTTCCCTTTCGGGACCGTCTTCACACATAGACCTTACTTCTATCCTGGAATAAAGAGTGTGCTTCCACATCTGTGTCTTTGCTTGAAGCAAAATCATGAGTGTGGAATGATGTCCATATGAGCTCTATCTGAGAGTCACGACTGCCACCTAGGTGAGGCTTTGAAGACAGCTAGGATTTGAGATGCTGCAGAACACGCACTAAGGTATAGTATGGTCTATGGCAAGTTCAGTAAGACCAGTTTTCAGAGAGCTCAGTCCGGCCTCAGCCAATTCTCTGCACACTAAGACTTACAGCCCATCTAAATGGAAGGCAAAGTGCAGCTGCGTGGGGCAGGATCTTTCCCCACTTGGTTGCACCCCTGTCAACACCTAGACACGCACTGGCTGTCCCAGCAGCAATATTTCTTTCCAGGGGGAGTCCTGCTCCATTCCTGTGTGCTACACAGGAAGATGGTGTCAGCAAGAGGCTTTGCACTGTGGTAGCAGAGGAATGGAGGAGGGTTAAGTAGGA